TCTTCTTTATCTTTCCCAAAATGGTTTTTAATACACAAATATATAACAATAACACCTTTAAAGTATCAAAATAGTTTTACCATCTTTTCGTCAAAACCAAGATCAAAACCCAGCAGTTTATATAATAAAATATATAAAGATTCGACTCATCAAAAACTCATAGTGTAAAATCAACAGTATTTATAAAACTCACAGTTTATAATCAACGGTAGTTTAAAAACTCACCTTAATAATCACAGTTACTGCAGTTTTAAAACATACAACAAATCACAAGCTCTTCAAACAGCTTTGAACAAAACATTTGTTCAAGAACACTTCTCGCCGCCACAACACTCTTTTTCTTTTTCAACAGATTTTTCTTCAAATGAAATGATAAGATAGAATCTTATCTTTTTATTTCTTTAAATACTCTCACCATGGTGGTGGAGATTATTTTAATTATAAAACTCATAGGCGGTGAAAGCTTTATCCAATAGAAATAACCTTGGGTGGTGGGTTTTTCATAATAAAATTAATGATTTCTTAACCATGAAGGTATAAGTTTTTAAATAATATAATAATGTTTCCACCAGAATAACTTATCACAAATAGGTATCACCTCATGTATGCTTCACACCACATGCATACATGTATAAATTATATATGTCATGCCATCTTTTCACATATATGCATGTACAATATCATGTTTACATATATAGTTCATGCATTTCTTCTTAGATATGCATATTTCATGTAATCCACATAATAAACATGTATAAATTACCTCAACCCAGGTTGTCTCAAACCTGGTTATAACATGAAATGGTATAAAAGGAGGGCTTAGCCTCCATTTCTCCTCTTCTTGCCATTTTTAAAGTTTGAGCGATTTAAAGAAAGAGGAGGTTGACCGGATTCTTTTTGAAGCAAAGTAGATTCAATTATTCTCAAAAGGATTTTTAGGTGAGTGATTTCTAAATCTTTTTGCATAAAATTTGTTACTGGTTTTATTTGAATGTTGTTTATTATTGAAAAGAAATCAGTTATTTGATTAAGGATTTTATTCGGACAAAAGGTGACCAGATTAAGTATAAATCGGACAAAGCTTGTCCGGATTATTCTTAAATCGAACAAGGGTTGGGCGATTAAGCCCTAAATCGGTCAAGTGTTAAGCGGTTTAGTTTTAAACCCGTCAAGCATTGAGCAATTTATGAATGTTAAGTATAGTAAACATTTTGAACGGAGAAGTATGAATACGACCATGTGGCGACCGGATTGTTTTAAATCGGACAAGTCTTAGGCGATGTATTGTCCGGACTTGTTATCCAGACAAAAGTATAGGAAATGATTCCAAGTGTTCGGATTTGGTAAATCGGTCAAGACTTGACCGGAGATGAAGTCCGGCCAAGCCAAGTTGACCGGATTTGTACTATGACTTGTGCTTGATTAATAAAAATTGTTATTTTATCATAAAATTGAAAATTTGATATAAATGATTTTGGATTGATAATAATTCCAATGACTGCGGTCTATTTGGAATTGTTTTTGTAAAATGTTTTAATGAGGAAATAAGGGTGGCATATCAAGGAGAGGTGTACCATGGGATAAGGATGGCACATCAAGGAGAGGTGTACCATGGGATAAGGGTGGCATATCAAGGAGAGTTGTACATTTGATATAAAAGGGTGGCATTTGTATGTGTGTTGTATGATATAACTCTTTCTATTATATCCTTTAAGACTACCATAGTCTGGAATCTTTATTTCTTTGTGATTTAAAGATTTAGGATCAAGGTTCTTATTGGAAATCATAGTCTGGATGTTATTGAGGAGAAAATAACAGGTTTGGCCTGAAACTTTAAATAAACCTTGTTTGATTAGAAAATGTTTAAAAGTGGCATTATATGAAACCTGGTTGGTTCAAAAGTATGTGATTTGAATAGCTGAATATTTAGCTTGAAATGTGGAAAGGATCTGGTATTATGTCCCTATTTGTTCATATATTTGTTATATATATGAAAAGTTGTTTTCCATAAAGGTTTTGGTGATTTCCACTCTGCAATAACATAAAAAAGGTAACTCACTAGACCTTTCGGTCTAACCCTCATTTTGTGATTTTAACTATGTATAGCAGGAGGTACGGACGGTAAGGGAAAGGGGAAAATGTAATATTTTCCTATATGCACTTCTACACGAAGATCTGTCTTTGATGTACAGTTTTGATTGATGATCGTTGATTAGTACAAGAAATGTATTTGAATTTTTGGACCTTGTATTATGTAATGATAGATTCTTGTACTAAGGGACCTGAATGGTATAAAATCATGTATTTCTTCTGTATGAAATATGTGTTACATGCTATGTGTGGTATGGGACGTTACAACCAGGAATTTGACTAGAGATAGAGTTACGAGATAAATCTATCAAACTCACATTACTTAATTGGCACAACTGCTTCGGAATAGAACCACTGAAGTTATTGTCTCTAAAAATAAGAATCCTTAATCCGGATAGTTTACCAAGAAATTCGGGTATTCATTCTGACAGGGAGTTGTTGCCTATATCCAAAGTTGAAACACGAGTCAAAATATGAAAGACATTGGGTATTGATCTGGTGAACCTATTGGAACCCAAATGAAGATGCCTCTGTATGTCAGATTTAAGCAGGTCAGGATGGGCCCCGAGAAAAATTTTGTGAGATATCTAGAAACGAGAATGGTGTTTTTGGGCAAGGAAATGGGTCTTCCAAACTATTATTTCTTGCAACAAGTTCAAACTTGTAACTCATGTTGCTTATCCAATGGGGGAATCTACCTGTAAAAATTTTATTGCTAATATCCATAATATTCAAATGATGCTATTTGTTGGGATTATTCTCAATTTTCCCAGTGAAACAACTATTATCTAACGCAAGGGAACGAAAATTACCGAAACTTAAGTTTCCTGAAAGTACCATGCCATGCAATAGGTTCTTTGATAATTTCAATATCTGTTATTCTGAGCTATTTCTGAACACCCCCTTTGAAACCTCTCCTGAGAACTCGGTATCAGATAAATCCAGTACCTTTAACCCACTCAGATCACCAATTGAAGATAGGATAGAACCATTTAAAGAATTCCTAGACAAATTTAAATACGTTAAATATGGAAAGAACTTATGAATATCCCTCGGAATGGTACGAAAAATCTGATTTTCGGACATATCCAACCACGTTAGGTTAGCATGTGTATGTAGCGGCAGATTAATAGTACCACCAAATGAGTTGTTCCTTAGAATAAGTGCTTCCAACATTGTATTATTCTCAATCAACCGATTTGGAAACTGTCCCCTCAAAGAGTTGTGTGATAGGTCTATCATCCATAACATGCGTTGTTGAAGAAGAAACCTAGGAACAACACTTGCTTTAGGCCGGTTTAGGTTGCAACCAGAGAGCACAAGAGCTTTCAATTGAAACATCGGAATACAACCCATGGGTTCTTTTGTTTCCATCTCAAATTTGTCATTGTTGCATTTAAATATAACTACCTCTAGCTTTGTATGACTGGAGAATGAGCTAAATGAGAATGCACCTTTAAAGTTGTCATCACTAAAATCAACATACTCGAGAGATGTGAGAATGGCAATCAGTAATGGCGGAAGTGTTCCCCTGAATTGATTTGATGAAATATCGAGCAACTTAAGAGATGATAAACTATTGAAACATTGAGGCAGGTTTCCCTCGAACATGTTGTGACTAAGATCCAACTCCCGCAGGTGCTTCAACTCACATAGACCTGTCAAAAGTCAATAATTAAATAAAACAAACAGGCTAATGCAATGGAACTACTCACACTTGTATGGTCATATGATGTCAAAGATCAACTATCGGGCTTATGCAATGTAACAGAAAGTGTACACGGATGTAGCTATATATACTACATGAACATTTCTTTCGTATGTTTTAAATCGTGAATGGTCTAGATAACATACCAAGTATCAAGCCGTTAAACTTGTTGTTGGCAAATGAGACAACTCCAATGGAAGGTGATAATGCATTTATTGTTGATGGGATGCTCCCAACGAAATTCTTCCAACTCAAATCTAAGAACTTCAGATTGTGAAGAGATGTGAAAGCTAGAAAACAACAAGAGTAAAATTAAGGATTAGACAATAGATATATATACGTTGTAAAAAAAAAATTTGTTAAATTGTTAGGCAACTCTGCCTCCAGTTCAATTTTTCATGTTTACAATGAGTAGATCACTTCACTACCTTTTTGAAAGCATGAGTAGATAACTTCAATACCTTTTTGAAAGCAATAATAATAATAATGTTGTAAAAGAATAAAGAAATAATGCTTACCTTCCATTGATAGTGTTCCATTGAAATCATTATTGCTTGAGAGGAGGACTTCCAGATCAGATAAATGAAGCAGCTCTGAAATAAATAAAGAGACACATACGCAATTGATCAGTAGTTATTATCATTTTCATAAATTGTAATTTTTTTTTTTAAAAAGCGATTTACCTTTTATAATGATAATTGTTTTAGAACTTAAATGGTTAAAAAGATACATACACATGATTACTCTTGTGACGGTAATTTCTTTAGTATGACAATTCTTGTGTGATGAATGTTTTTAAAATTTAACTTATTTTTGATAATAATAATTTTTTTTAAATTTGATTATTTTTTATCTAATAGATTTTAAAACATGATTAATTGTTTATTTTGACAAAAACTCTAAATAAATCCAAAATTATCATCTATAAATTGGGAAAAGTTTTAAAAAAAAAATTCAAGAAACTATCTTATTTTAAATGATTAAATTTAAATTTCTTGAACTTTTCTATAAATTAATAAACCGTCGAACTTTCTCATTTTGAATAATGAAGTCTTTGAACATTTTTTTAGCAAATAAATCGTCGAACTTTTAAAAGTTGGTTACTTACATTTTTCTATAATCGGCTGGGAGGTTTTAAAGTAAAAAAAAAAACTAAATCAATTTTATTGTTCCCGAATCTTGTGACTCGATCTCCCTCTTTCTTATCTGACTTTTTGTGTTTCGATTCCCCCTCTTTTACACAAAATATGAATAAGACTAATATGGTTATATTTCTATGCAATTTGCCCTACTTCTTATTGCAATTTAACCAATTAAAATTTTTTAAACACTCATTTTAACATTCTAACCATATAAAAAGGAACTCAATAAATAATAGTAAAAATTAAATTTAGTCGTCTAGAACATGCCTTTGATGGGAAAAGAACCTCCTGATGAAACACCATTTGAAAGATCAAGAGTCTTGAGGGATGGGAGAACATTTAAGCATGAAATGATGTTCTTGTTGAAATTGTTCCCTTGAAGTGTTATACTCTTCAACTTTTTCAATCTCGATAATCTCGTACATTCTGTAGAAAAACAAGAAACTTTTACGAAACCATTTTTGTTTTTTCATATTTTTTAAAGTATGCACAAGTTACCATGGCTACATCTCCTTTTACCTTGGATACTTGGTGTGTCATTGAACCGGTTACCACTTAGATCCAACTCCTGTAGATTAGTGAGCTGGGCTAATTCAGTGACATGAACCAAAACATAAACTAATCATGTGCCACTTTAAATGTACATTTTGAAATTAGCTTCATACAAATATGTATGAGTGGTACTTATGCAAAAACTAAATTATGTCAAAGAGCAAGTGTTTTTATAATGTCCGCAAAACTAATCAAATATTTACAGAAATCGGTGAATGTAAAAAGTAGTCACATTTTAACTTGTTAATTTCAAAGACATCAAACACGTTTATGATGATAATATTTAAATAATGTGACTTTGTGTATCATGACTAAGGGACCGTTTACCAAACACTTGCTCGGTAAGCGCTTACCGGCAAAATTAACACTATCATTTACTTACCGAGTAAGATTTTAGTCCATCAAAACGACATCATATGCAACAATTTACCCGGTAAGCACTTACCGTGGTAAGAGTCCTTGCCCTCACTTACCGGGTAAGACTCTTGATCCTTGTCTCGCTCTTACCGGATAAGATTTTTGTTCCTTATCATATTCATTCGTTAATGTAATGTGATTTGGTAAGCACTTACCCGAGTAAGCTTTGGTAAACGCCCCCTAACTGTTAAAACAATTATCATTTATTTCATGTAATATATGCACATTTTCAATAGTATTTATAGAGTAACATGCACCTCCTAAAGGTCTAGAATAACATAAAAAAATCAACTACACATTTAAACTTGGATTCAACCACTACCATTACTACTACATGTAAAGAAATTATAAATAAACATATAGATCTATGATCAGGGATGAACCCAGGTGGTTCAAGTGGTGACATATGCCACATTTTCATTCATCAATTGTAGTGTAAAAAATTATAGGATCATGAAAAATGTCATCGTATCAAGTTTGTTGTGTGTCATCGTATATATTTTGAAACTACGACGACACAAGCTTAGAGTTGGTTTGCAATAATTTTCTTCCACCCCACACCTGAGTTTGAATCTTATTAGTGTCGTTTTCTTAGCTTTTAGCTTTTTAGTTTCACATTTATTATGATTATGGAAAAAAAATTGTAATAAAAGACTTGAACACACGACCTCATATATAAAAAACAATGAATTAACTAATAGATCAGTGATGATTTTGTGAAAAAAAATATCCATATATTTTTTTTCTTATAATAAAATGATGTTAGTGCTTGATTTTTTTTGGGTCCATCTATGTCTATGATGAACTAAAAACAAGATAAAGTCTATTAAGTTAACTCGAGAGGAGACAAACATGAGAGAAGATAGATAATCAATAGTGTAATAAATCATACCTTCAACTGGAAATGACGTTCCATGTAGCCTACTATTGTAACCAAGATCAAGGGATTTAAGTATCGGAAGAGCACTTAAAGATGTTATAAAGCTTACATTGAAATTATTCCCCCAAAGATATAGAATTTTCAACTTCTTCAATAGAGAAACTTGCTCGAAGCCTGTAATGATCATGAAAGCTTTTTTAATACCAAGAAAACATTTATAAATGCATATTCAAATAAAAAATTAACATAAAAAATGAGAAAAGAAAAATATGTCAAAATTTGCATTTAATGGAAGACCAAAAAAATAATTGGGAATGGAAGAGTATTTGTGTGTGAAGAGAAGAGATTGCATTCAAATCCGAGAGGAGCAATGCCTCTTGAATGAGTTTAACATCGTATTCATTACCTTCCATATGATTATCGGAGATCCAATATCTCCAAGTTTTCCAAAGCTGCAAATTTGTCCAAAATACATGTATTATAAACATATAATTAGAACATGCAAATATTAATTAAGAAGGACCAAAAACATGCCAAGAGCAGGGAAGTATCCTTTCAAGTTATTGTAACCAAGATTCAAAACTTTGAGTGAAGTCAGAGCCCTCAATGAGTGAAAGGTCATATTAGTAATGCTATTACGGCTAAGATCCAGTGTCTCTAGCTTCTTCAAACTTGACAACCTTCCAAGTCCTGCAAAATTGAAGAGTTATAACGTGATATYATGGAAGGTAACTTCAAAAATAAATAGCTAGTAATAGAGTCAACTTATTCTACTTGGTCAACTCTATTTTTTATTTGAAGATTTTCAATTCAAATTACTTTATTGGCATTTGGTAATACATTATTACCTATAATGGAAACTTCATGTTTAATTCACTTAGTTTTGACACTAGCTGAGGAGATTTTATATGTTAGATTAATAAGTAAAACTTCTTTATTAAACTATGCACTAAATCAAACATTTCATTTCCTATGATAAAAGTATATTAGAACGATACATAAATGATAGATATCAATATATCATGTTTCATCTAACCATGGTTCGAAAGCTTAAACAGAGATATACCATTCACACATGCGTTGAGCCTCTGAATATGAAATTAAATTAAACCGGTATTAGACTTGCCAAACAACAAAGAGGAAATTAACTCAAGGTCATATAAGGTTAACTTTTCAACCAACCAAAAAGGTTCTGTCCTAAAAGGCAGGGGCGGATCCAGCCTTTATTATATTAATTTTTTATAGTCCTCACCTTTTGAAATGATGACCGAGTTTAAAGTAATACATATTTCTTTATTTAAGAATGATTTATATGGGTTCGGTTCACGTGAGACCATTTTGTTTCTGTGAGACCCGTAAAACCACATTTGAAACTTGAAACTTCATATCAAAATAGTACAAAGATAAAAAGAATCGGAACTTTCATGGAAAAAACACTGGTTGATATCCATGCAATTAATATCGTAAGTCTAGATATAAATCTAAACTTGATATCTTGACTAACTTCTTCCCGTTGGAGAGAGAGATGATAAAAAGTATGAATTACGCACAAACTTTAAAAACAACTACATTATTGACTTTTCAAAAATCAAACAAAACTTTTCAAATTTCTTATACAACCTCAAATCAAGTTATATACAAAAAGTACCATCATCCTATTCACCTCTTCACGTTCCTCCCAATAATACGTAATTTAGAACTTACAAAACATTTATAAATGCATATTCAAATAAAAAAGTAATACAATCCCTTTAATTAATAGAAGACCAACTAATCAATTGATTATTTTTGATATTTTTTTTAAATTGATTATTCACAAAAAAAAAAGATGAGAAAAGAAAAAGATGTCAAATTTGCATTTAATGGAAGACCAAAAAAAATAATTGGGAATGAAAGAGTATTTATGTGTAAAGAGAAGAGATTGCATTCAAATCCGGGAGGAGCAATGCATCTTGAATGAGTTTAACATCATATTCATTACCTTGCATTTGATTGATGGAGAGATCCAATGTCTCCAAGTTTCCAGAGCTGCAAATTTGTTCAAAATATATGTATTATAAACATATAATTAGAGCATGCATGTTATTGCAAATATTAATTAAAAAGGACCAAAGACATGTCAAGAGCAGGGAAGTATCCTTCCAAGTCATTGCCATAGAGATGCAAAACTCTAAGTGAAGTCAGAGCACCCAATGAGTGAAAGGTCTCATTTCCAATGCTATTACGGTAAGATCCAGTGTCTCTAGCTTCCTCAAACTCGACAACCTTCCTAGTCCTGTAGAATCGAAGAGTTAACGTGATATCAAGGAAGGTAACTTCAAAAATAAATAGCTAATAATAGAGTCAACTTATTCTACTTGGTCAACTTACAAGCACCATATTGCATCACTGTGATGTTCATGAATATGAATAGAGTCAATGTATTCGTAATTCATGGTCAAACATGTATAAAATATCAATTTCCATAATTCCATATCAAGCAAATATGGTAACTCATAATACATGTGTTCACAATATTGTTATCAAGGCAATTCCTTGACAAATTTGAGACTTGCTAACTCTTTAAAATTAAGAAACACATAAACATTTAATGGCCAAATACTCTTGCAATCTCCATAAAATTGCTCTAGAATCCCCACCATGTTTCTCAAAGATAGGTTTGTTACATGCCTAGTGGTTGTGTTTCACGTGACCTGCCTCTCTGTTAGCTCTCATATTCTGTTAATGTAAAAGTATGAAAAAATATT